CTCATTATCAATGATTTACATCTTTTCAGGAATTATTGCAGGATTATCTATGAAATATCAAATCACTTTCCACCTGTGATGGTAAATAAGTAAATTCAGCCACATGAGGAAGCCCACTACATGACTACTTATGTGTCATGATATCAGGGCAATTAGAAGAGACTGCCTGCTACCCAAACTCCACCATCCCATCCCAAATATTTTATTTTAAGTTTTAGTCAAAAGGGTTTTTGTATACTATTAAATACGATATTCCTGAAAGAGGTCACACATGAAGCCCATAATGTTATTTTTTGCATCTCTGAACAAATGCATTTATCAGATTCTTCAAGATGCTGACCGAAACCCTTTACTGTTTAATGCTCTGAAATGTCTTTGATAATTACTAAGTCCTAAGACTTCAACCTTAATGTTTATCAAAATAATCATAAATTTCTGTGATTTGCTCTCATATGGTGTCCACACCTAGAATGGAATAGCCAGCTAACTAGTGGACATCCCCATCTACACTTCATACGCAAAATGCCCAGAATCAACACATGCTATTCCCTTCATACCTGCTTTTCATTTGCTACGGGTTTACTCAGCCACACAGCAGTAGTAACATCACTCAAGTAGTAACGTCAGGGGCATCTTTCTTCTCTTCCCCACAGTCAGTGATTATATCCTGAAGATTCCAACTCAGTGATACCTCGCACTTGAAGGGGCTCTCATTCAGAGGCCCGTGTCTCATGCAGACCTGCAGTTTTCCTCCCTGGACTCCCAAAAGAGCTTTTTACTCACAATCCCCAGCACCACTCCCCACTGACATCCCTCTTCCTAAGGCTCAGCTTCGACCGTATCATCGTCCAGTTTGAAAACTTGAATGTTCCCCATTGCTTATTAAATTCAGACCAAGCTCATCTTGCTGTTCAGTATATATTATGATACACTGTATTATGTATTATCATACACTGTATTATGTAATATCCTACACTGTATTATCATACACAATATTAAGATACACTGTATTATGATACACTTCTACTTTCACGTACCCATTAGTAAAACCAGAACACTCACTGCCCTCAAAGATTTCTGTCGCTTTCCAGGCTACGTGCCTTTCCTCATATTCTTTCCTCTACATTTCACTCATTCCCCATTTCCACCCTTTGAGAGCTACCTATCTTCAAGATCAACTTCAGTTTTACTTTCTTCACGAAGTCTTTCGGGCTCTCCCAGCTGGATGTGATCGTCTCACCGTGGAACTCCCATGGCGTCCGCTGTGCCCCGACTTACTAAATAGTACCATCATGTCTATGAGTGTCTTATGCTACCCACTATATCGACAAACCATAAGTCTAGGAACAGTGTCTTATTAATCTCTACTTCAACTGCAGTACCTAAATTCTCGCATATAAAATGCACATAATTATTGAAGTGCTTCTGAATGACTTTTGAAGGAGGATAAGAAAAAAAGTGGAGGAGTTCTGAAAGTGTGGCTATGCCAAGAAATTATATCATAGGCTCCTGGAGAGCAACTTTACACACTTTGTAATCTTGCATAAGACTGTGGCTTAGCACAAGCATCTTGCCAATGATGAAAATCTGTGTTGGGGGCAAGGTAGGCTGGTCCAGAGCACCAGCATCCACTTGGATAAAATCTAGTACTGGGGACTTTCAGGTAGGGGGGGCAAAATGAAACCACTGAGTCCCAGGAATCTTGGTAGTATCTTCAGGTCCTGGAAGGCTGCGGGGAAGATGGCAGCTCTAGGCCAGAGGATTCTGGGAGGCAAATGAGGTAATAAAACTAACTGCCTGTTTCACCATTCTACATACACTAGATTAGACTAGCACTATTTTAGTCTTGTTTGGTTCTAAATATACGTGAAACTATCAGTCAGTTGTTCAATCAATCTTTATATATTTATTGAGTGCTTTCAATATGCCAAGCACTTGCACTGTGCTAGGTGCTGAAGTGATGGGGGCTAACAAAAAAGACAAAAGTCCCTGCCCGTATGGACCTTACTTTCTAGTGGAAGAAGAGAAATGATAAATTGAAGACATGCATAAAAGATTAGAAGGTGATCTTTTTTTTAATCCTCTGGATGAAAATCAAGCGGGCTATAAAGCTGAAATGTTAGAATTTCAATCATAGTGGTCAGGGCTTATTAAGAAGATGATAGTTGAGCAGGGATGTGGAAGACGTGAACATGTGTCTGTGCAGCCACCTGAGGAAAGAGCACCACAGGAAGAGGACAGAGCCAGTGCAAATGTTCCAAGGGAAGCAAGGACCGAGTGGCTGGAGTGGTTGGAGGCAGAGTGAGATCCGAGAAATAAAGAGAGACTTCTAGTCTTTGTAGGCTATGGCAAAAACGTGGCTTTCACTTTGGAATGGGGAGTTCCAGGAATAGCTTTGGCAAAAATTGACGCCATTGCTGTTGACCTGGGATTGAACTGGAGAGAGGACCAAAGACGTAAACAGGGAAACCAGTTAGGAGGCCATTGTAAGATCCTGGGCAGAAGATGATGATGAAAGTGTGGACCAGAATGGTGGTGGTAGAGATGATGAGAGGTGATCAACGTCAAGAAAAAATTTTAAAGGTAGCACCTTGAGGACTTCCTGATGTAGTAGATAGAGGAGATGAAGGAAAAAAAGTCAAAGATGACTCTAAGGATTTTTGTCAGCGCAAATAGAAAAATACTACTGTTTATTAATGGAGACTATTAAAGGTGGCATAAGTTGGGAAAGCAGAAATAATTAGGGTTGAGTTTTGGATCTATAAAGCGTGTGATACCTATGAGGCATCTACATGTAGTCTGGAAGTCAGGAGAGAATCTGGGCTAGAGATATGAATTTGGGAGTCATCAGAATATAGATAGTATTTGAAGGCAAGAGACTAGATGAGATCACAAGAAAGGGCCATAGAGAAGAGCCAAGGTGCAAGGACTGAGCTTGAGGCACCCCAACATCCAGAGGTCTTAGAGAATGGGGGGAACCAGCAAAGGAGGCTGAGAGGGAACCACCAGTGAGGCAGGAGGCAAACCAGGTGGGTGTGTTGTCCCAGGAGCCAAGACACAGATGTTTGAAGGAGGAGGGGGTGGACAGCTGGGTCAAATGCTGCTTACGCATCAAGTTAGATAGAGGCAAAACGGCCTTTGGAGTTAACAACCTGGAGGTCATTGGTGACACTGACAAGAACAGTTCAACGGAGTGATGGGATAAGAAAGCCTCAGAGGAAAAGGTCTGAGAATAGAAGAGGAATTGAAGAGACTGAGTACAGATGCTTCATCTTGTCATAAAAATGTGGTCTTTTCTTTGTTTTTGAGATGGAGTCTTGCTCTGTTGCACCCAGGCTGGAGTACAGTGGCACAATCTCGGCTCACTGCAACCTCTAGCTCCTGGGTTCAAATGATTATCCTGCCTCAGCCTCCTAAGTAGCTGGGAATAGAGGTGCCTGCCACCACACCCGGCCAATTTTTTGTATTTTTAGTAGAGACAGTGTTTCACCATGTTAGTCAGGCTGGTCTTGAACTCCTGACCTTAGGTCATCTGCCCACCTTGGCCTCCCAAAGTGCTGGGATTACAGGCATGAGCCACTGTGTCCGGCCAAAAATGGTCATTTTTTAAAGCCAGTAATTCAAACTTTCAATTAATCCAAATGGGCACTATGTCCACAACAATCTGAATAAACCAAATTTTACTTGTGAAATCTCCCTATCAGACAAACCACAAAAAGGTTTTGTGAAATGGGTTTCAGCAATTTTAAGTCTGGAAGTCTCTTTGTTAACTGAAGGAAAACAACCACTTCCTTCAGTAAATTTGCAGCTCAAAGTATTTTAAGTTTTATAATCAAACTTCTGTTTGGAACATCACACACACACACACACACACACACACACCCCAAAATGATGACGTCATAGTTCTCAATTGAATATTGTACCTCGTTATAAATAACATTTACTCATTCCTAATATTTCACTATTGATTTATAGTTTTTTTTTTTCATGTCATAGCTACCACATGCTCACCTTAAATTTGTAATGAGGTTTCTCATTCCATAGACATTTGACTGCCTTTTGTACTTGTAGACACAGGCTCACGTTGTCAACAGTTGGGCAATGGATCTCAGAAAACATTAAGCTTGGGATTAAAAGCAGGGCAGAGAAAGCTGTCAGTAAAACATGCTAACCTAATGTATCTGACGAGGACAGGGTCTATTCACATCCAGAACTGCAAGGATGCTGTGAAGTACAATGACTTGAAACTTGTGATATCATTTTGTTGTAACATTAAAGCCAAGAGTCTTCTTGACCCAAGGGCAATGCCAGTTTCCCAGAAGGCTCATTTCTCAGAGCCACAGCTCCAAAGATGCCAGTGCACCCAGGCTGATACTTAGTCTCATGTTATTTCTCAATTTTATGCTTAATTTGCTCCTTTTGGTTTTATGTATTTTGACACAGCCAAGTGTATGAGGGGATTTCCCCACAGTCCTTTAAATGCTATAAAACTTTAATACAGGAAGATAAAAGCCATAATAAGCCATGCCTTCAAGCCCTCACATTTAGTTCTTTATTTGAGTTTGACAATAGTCAGTTTTAGATACTGATTTGGATTTGTAAGTACTTGCACTGCTTTAAATGCCCTTGTGCCCTTCCTGACCCTCCTCTCCCACCCAAATGAAAATTATATTCCACCCTTAACCTGGACATGCAACTTCCATGGACTGCACAAAATGACATCTTTACAATTCTTAAATTATCATCATAATGGCCAACATCATGCATGTGAGCCAATGAAATTTAATACGGTTCAGAATAAAGCCAAGATGGATGCCCAATTCCCAATTTTAGGCATCCAACCCTGGAACATCTTCGGGAAAAAATGAAATAATGCTTCTAGTAGGCTGTTGGGTTTGTCTGTTTTCAGCATAATTGCCATCTCTCAGCTTCCTAATACCCTTAAAAACCTCTGAGAGTCTTTAATGTACAAAGTTCAACAAAAACACCTTTAAAAAAGATTAGTTCTAATTATGTTTAATATTGGTTTGGTGCTTTATTGAATAAACTACATTTGCTTAAAAAAAAAAAAAGGAATTTCACTTAACTGCATGTCAGTCACCCAAGTTTTAAGTGTACAAATGAAATGGAAACATTTATTACACAAATTTAATTACAATTCTAAGAAATAAACATGCAAATTAGATAGAGTTCAATTTGCAGATGGTAATCCCCATCCTTGATCTTGTTCCTTCCTCCCTTGATTTTCAGTCTGTGCGGCTTCTTGATTCCTAGGGAGCCAGGCAGCCAGCGGTTTGGTTTTTCACAGTCGGAGGATCACTGTTTTAAAGAAGTGTTATATTTAGCACATCTGGCATAGTGGCAGTAAACAAACATTATAGTCTTTGTAACACTTTTGTGCAGGTGCCTTCCCCCGATTTTATTAGGTCTATGCCTTCCAAGCCTCTGCCTTCATTACACCTGAAATGACCCATCTCGACTATGGAGGGGTCCCTAGACAGAAGTTATGAATTAATGTTTTTTAAAAACAAACTCTGAGCCCATTATAGGAGAAAATTGCTATTTGCAAAGTATTCTGATTCCAAGGCTTAAATTACATTCTCCTGAGCAAGGACAATCTCTTATATTACTTTTTATTTCCTGGAGGTTTTCCCTGGAGGCTCCCCACCCAGAAAGAGTTGCCAATTCAAGTTGTAGCAGGACCATGGTTGCTTTTTTTTGTACGTACGCAGCTCAGGCGGGGGCGGGCGGCGAGGGGAGAATAACTGTTTGGTCCTGCAAAGACATCTGTTTCTCATCTCCGTTTGCTGTGGCAAAGGAGAAGAAAGTCTTTTGCAAAGGGTGGGAAAGGCACAGATTTTTTTTTTAATCACATGCACACACAACAACAACAAAACTAAACCAAATTTAAAAAGACAAGACATCTCGGAAGGTTGCAGAGTGAATATATTATTCGGCTGGAGCCGAGCCCCCAGGGTTAGGGCGGGAGCCCGAGAGCGCGTGGGGTCTGGGCTGCGGGCTGGAGCTGGGCCCGCGTGTCCCCGGGCACCGGGAGGGGAGGGGAGGGGAGGAGAAGGAGGAGGGAGGGCGGGAAGGAGGGAAGGAGGCAGGGGGCGGGCTGGGGTGGGGGTGCGGGAAAGGCGCCCCGTGTGCAGCCTGAGGAGCGGTGGCGGCGGCGGGAGCAGAGGGAGGGAGGGAGAGCGGGCGCGCTTGTCATGTTCCCTCTCTCACCCTGGGGGCATCCTGCAGAACCTCTCCTCGGAAATCCACGGGGAAATGGCAAACAGGATTGACGGGTTTCACACGCTCCTCGCTAGACAGAGCCGCTCATTACCATAACCGTCTGCAGCGACGGCGGCGCAGCGCCCCAGTCGCGGCGGCGGGACCTGCCGGGACCCTCGCCAGCCGCACAACCGCGGTCACCGCCGAGCGGGCCGCCGGGCCGGGACCGGGACCTGCGCGAGTGTGCATCGGCGGCCGGGCTGGCGCCGAGCCCAGAGCGGACCAGCAGCAGCTCCAGTGCTGCGGCCGCCGCCTCCTCGCTGACCCCGCGGTAAGACCCGGGCTGGGCGCGGGCCGCGGGGGCGGGAGGGCCGGGCCGGGTGGAGGGCGCGGGTCCCCCGGGGCTCCTGCCCGCGCAGACGGGCACCCACGCGGCCTCCCGCGCGCCCTCCCGGCACCAGGGCTGTGCCGAGGTCACCGAGTGGACTCGCAGCGGGGCCGGGGCGGCGTGGGGGCCAAAGCACAGCTGGGCGCTGAGGCGGCGCGGGCTTTTCCCGGGGCTGGCGTGCGCCGCGGCGCCTTCACCAGGGCGGGAACCGCCGCCTCCTCTAGGGCTGCTCGGGCTGCCACCCGCGCGCACCGAGACAACTCCAGGGGCGGGTGGGGTCAGCAGCTCTGGTGAGACCTCAGGGTCCTCGGTGGCCGCTTAGCCCCTCATCCTCGGGGACCGGGGTCATTAGGAGGGGTGCCCCCAGGTCCGGACGCCGCGGCGCTTGGCAGGTGGGGAGGGAAGGATTGTGGATGTCAGGAGCGCGCGTTTGCAAGAAAAAGGAATTGATGCAGTAGCTGACACCTTCTGTCCCCCGCCACCTCCGCCCCCGCACCCTCCTCCCCGGCAGCCAAGCCGCGCTGCGGGCGGCGGCGGCTCCTCTGTCCTCAGCTCACCTCCCCGGCGGGCTGAGGCTGCTGCCCGCCTGGTCCACGCCTCCGCCTCTCTCCTCCCTTCCTCCCCTCCCGCCTCTTCGGCCCTAGCAACTTTCCGAGTGCCCGGCTGCGGCCGCAGAGGCAGGGAAGAGGCCTCCTCGCTGCCAGGTCCCACGGGCGCAGGGCGCTCCGGCAGCCGCGGGCTTCCAGCCTGTTTGGCTGGGGAGGGAGGGAGGGCCGCGCCGGCTTCTGCTGCGGGCTGGAGCGCGGGGGCTCGGGCCAGCCCCGCCAGAGCCCTGCCAGCCGCCGTGAGTCATTTCCTTGGAATCCTACCTTTGGTGTTTATTTCCCTTAGAAGGAAACTTGGCTAAAAAAAAAAAAAAAAGGGTAAGACATAAAGAATAATAATAGCTCTTATTCTTCAGAAGAGGCACACGGCTCCGGCACCGTAGGAAGACAACTTGCCTTTGTTCCCGGACACTTGGGGTGTTGTTTACTTTCTCCTGTGGCCGGTGGCCGGCGGGCGCTGCTGGCTACCCCAGGAGGGGCTGGGGGCTGCGGCACCGACCCCCCGGGGGTGTGTCTGTGCGGGAGCCAGGATGTGGTTGGTGGCTGCCGTCCGCCTTCAAGAGGTCTGCCCTCCAAACCTCGGACCGCCCCCCCAACCTTGGGCATCCCTTCATGCTCCTTAGGCCCAGCACCTGCAGCCCCAACCACAAGACCCAGCTTCAAGCTCTTGGCCTCGCGGGGCTGCAGCTGAGAAATGTACTTTCCAGGGCAGACAGGTGTACTGCAGGGACCGGCAGAAAAGCGACATCTGTCTGTTTAGAAGGGTTGAAGGATTTTGCTCGCCCATCAAGGCCCTTCCACTACTACCACCAGGAGCCGGAGAAACTGTTGAGATCACTTTAGGACAATGTGGAGGTCAGGGGCTTGATGCCATTTAAGGCTGGCAGCATGGATCGGGGGTGGAAATAGCCCTTTACTTCCCTGCTTTCCAGTTTCCAGTCTATCAGACTGCTAACTGCTATAATCTTAATCAAATGTTCTCCAATTTTCAATGACAGATGGAAGAAGAGGTGGGCAAAGAATGACCTGGAGCCCCTTGTTAGAGTCAAGGTGCCGCTGATTTCATAGCTACCCTGTTTTATGTGTCAGCATCTCCTGTTAGCTTATAATTGCTTCGAGGAAAGAACAAGCCCAACTCATCTGGAAAAACCAAATTGTATAGAAATGTCTGGTAACTTTAGTATGAACATTTGCTGGAAAAGCTTGACATTCTAGCCCTCAGTCTTCTGGGGAGGCTGGACATGTCATTCCACTACATCCACCTGGGTGACAGAATAGACATGCAGGAGCCTGAGAATGAGGGGTTAGGGCTTTTTTTTTTTTTTTTTTTTTTATCTTTTAAACCCATGCAGAGACAAAACACACTCTGACACCTGCCTGTTGAATCCGTCACCTCCAATCGTAGGAAATAAATTTTGCCATAATGTATATCTTTTGTCTTTATTTAATATTAATAGAACATGAATTTGTGGACTTGAACTGACGTCAGTAGCAGAATTATAATGTAAATCTCATCATACAGAGAATTATGACAGTTTACATCTCTACATGTAATACGAAGAAAGATTCATGTTAAGCATTTGTGCTTACCGCTGCACAGTCCAATTTTTCGTGAACATTGAATTTGCCTTCTTAATTTGTTAACAGCTAGTGTAAGTTCTAAATAGACTAGGAAGACTCAATTGCAAAATCTCCCTGCTTCCAAATAATCCCAACTCATTCATGATTTATTCAGATTTACATAAATCACTTGCAGAACTCAGTCTCTCTAGTTTAGGATTTTGTGTGTGACAGTTCTCAATTTAAAAAAGAAAAACTTTCTAAAATTAGATATTAAAATTGAGACATTGTAAAACAAAAAAATAGCCAAGATAAAAACTGTTATGCCATGTTTCAAGTTCAAACGCATAGTAGGATCTCATACGGTGGAAATAATACTAACAAATAGAAACACTGAAATCCCCAGCAACCAAAAACGCTACTACCAAAAAGTCATTAAAATATAAACAAACTCTGAAGAACATAAAACAGCACAGGGCCCATATAATGTCCTATTAAACAAAAGTAATTGCTGCAAATGCTTTTCTTTCTTAAGGGGCATGAGTTTGTTAACCTGCTTTTGTTTACATGAAATAAAATTCTGTATAGGCAAAAGGCTTGGATCTTATTTCCATGATCTAACACGAAAGTGAGTGTAAAACTTCAAGCTAGAAAATGTTGATTCTCTCAGTAAGAAAGGACTACTGACTATTGAAATGCTACAATTCCTGTGCTCCTGGCAACAGCATTTCCTGACACGATTGTCTCTTAGAATAGGTTAAGAAACTGGACCATTTCATGAGAGTCTTCCAGGGAATAAATCATCATGAAGTTCGATACCTTACTTGGGGAGTTTGAGAAGTGATGATAGACAGAAGGGCTTAATTTGTTATATCGATGTAGGCTAAATTGCTTTGTTGATGACTCAAAGAGAAAAATAAATGACGTGTCCCATCATTTCTTTATAAAGATTTAATTGAACCTTTCTTTTCCCCACTTGTAAAAGGTTTACTAATAAGTCCTTACTGATGTCTCTTTGGAGGGCATCTTAAAAGAGAAGGGGGAGGTGGTTTAGCAGCCCAAATCAGCTGAGTCCTAATTCTCTCCACTGACCTGTACACATTCCCTGTCTGTCAGAAGGTCTTACTTCATTATTCAGTGTGGTTGGGACAGAATTTGAGACCTCAGAGAGAAGACTGGGTGAAAGGTAGACTCATCGCTGCCAAGAGCTCCTCTTTTAGTCAGAAGGACATTGTCACTTTAATGATGCTATTTCGCCTTACCCTGGTGTGTTTCCTTCTTTTTCTTGGAAGTGGACCCTTGTTATATCATGTAGGAGTAGTCTCCCATGAGACAATGATAGATTCACTCTTTCCCAAAAACATTACCAGCTGTATAATTTGGAAAAGAAAGCAAGAATTGGGCCCTTAGTTTATATTTGAAAGACAGTCAATCTTCAGAAAGTGAGCCTGACATCACTTGTATGACAGTTCTTGAAACCACAAAGTGGGATAGTGGGGGCTTGGATCTCCTAAAGGGATTGGCAGTTAACAAGGCACTGAGGCTGCGCTACTGTCACCAGTGGTCTATGGCCCTAGGTCTTTTTACTTTCATATCAGACTCTCTTTTTCCTTGAACTCACTCTTGACCCTACCTTGAGACCTGCATAGGACCAAGTGAAGACACAGAGCCCCCATGAAAGCGGCCTCACTGCCTAAGCTATGGAGGGGCCCAGGACACCTAAGAGCAGAGAGGCTCCCATCTCCCTGCAGGCCCAAGGGAGCGAAGGGCGTGAACTGGAGAGAAGGGCAGTGATGTGTTGCCTCTTGGAAAGTTCCTGCTCTGTGTCTGGGCTTTGCAGTGTAAAGAGTTGCTGGCTGCCTCTGGCCCCAGAGCCTGGCTCCTGTTTAATATTCTGCCTGCTCCGTTGATGTTGTGCTTGGCTCCTGTGGGACTGCAACTCACGGCTTGAAACTGGAGCCAATTTTCTGTCTTCATCTCGCAGTGTTTTGACTGGAGGCAGATCCAGTTCAGGCCGATCAGGGCTGGTGGAAACAACTACCAAGTGTCTCTCTGTCTGCTTTGCTTTGGGAGAAGAAAGTGGAGGGATCCCCAGCATGTTGTAGAGGAACTGGCCTGCGGAAACGAGAGGAGGAGGGTGCAGGGGGCAGCGGAACAGACTGAACCTCAGAGCATCAGTCGGAATGACGGTGGAGATTTCTGCTTCCCCTGCCCTTTTCTTTTGATTGATTAGTGGATTTCATCAAAGGAGGCTCCCGGGGGATTGACTAGAAAATTGATTTTGCCTTATTAATAGAAAGGAAGCGCAAGGGTTTTGGCTTCTTAGCGGTACATTTTCTTTGGAAGGTCAGAAGGAAAATGTGTTTCGGAGGCAAAGCAGCTGTCTGGAAGAGGGCTGAGGGGAATCTGAGAACAATAAGAAATGGGGTTTTAAAGATCCGCCCATGAAATGCAGATTGCTGAACACAGAGGCTGAGCTAATAGCAGCAAGAGTTTGCCGAGGTTTTCTTTGAAAAAATAATAAAATGTTTCAGGGTGAAGGGGAGGGGCAAGAAGTAAAAGTTTCCCAAAGCAAAGAAATGAAGATGCCAAGGCCATCCCTTGGCTGGCTCTTGATTAGGGCTGTTTTCTTCATTCTTTCTTTTTTTTTTTTTTTTTTCTTTTCAGATCTGAGGCTGTCAGAGATGACTCTGGTTCTGTCCATGAATAGATTCTGCGAGCGCATTGTCTCGGAAGGAGCTGCTGAAATTGCTGGGTACCAAACGCTGTGGGAGGCTGATAGCTACGGAGGCCCAAGCCCCCCAGGGCCAGCACAGGCTCCTTTGCAGGGAGACCGGGGAGCTGGTCCCCCGCTGGCAGGTATTGCCCTTGATTCCCTCCCCCCACCCTGCCCCTCGCTGCCCTCTGCAGCCAGCCTGGTGGACAGGAAATGGTGTCTGGGGTGCCCTTCTGAGCCAGGAGAGCTAAAGCTCCAAGGACTTCCCGGGCTGCCTGTGTGTCTCTCATAAGTGAGTCCAGAGCTCTAGAGAGAGGACCAGAGGTGATATTTAAATTGCATTTAAACCTGTGTCTACCCGTGCTGCTGCTTGCATATAAGTCATGTGTCTATATTACTAAGAGGGCCAAACTAGATATTGAAACTCTGAGTTTGGGTTTTGGTTTTCCACCCTGTGGAACTGGATGGTTTTCTCACAACTATGAAAGCTCTGGTGGGCTCAACAATGACACCAAGGAATCTGCACTTTGGGCCAGCAACTATGTGCCTCTTTTTAACCCATTTATGCCCAGTGTTCCATTATTGGAACGCTAAACTTGAGGGAGTTATTTATACCCTACTGGTCAAGGCCATCACCAAAGTCTGACGTTTCACACAAAAAATTTTGCAATCTCTGACATAAATGGGTTAAGGACACAATTGGCTTTGGGATTGTAGGGAAAAAAATTAAAGCCAAGAAAATAAAAATATGTTCTTCTTGATTCTTCTTATGGTTTAAGTTCCTTTGGATTTCTGTGCAGTACTACCTATTTTTTAAAAGAAACTAATATATAAAACAAGTACTCAATGAAGTTTGTTTTGCTAAAAAAGATTGAAAGCTGTGGTCTTCATGGTTGACACACTACATCTTGGAGAATGAAAAGAACATTGGTTACTCAAAATTTTTATTCAAAATTTAAAAATTTGAATTTTGTATTTTGAACAAAACGAGTGTTATAATTCCAATGTGCAGATAACCATTTGTTTACTAACCTAAAGCAAATAATATTTTAAAGTTGTTTGGTTATCAGTGGTTAAAGATGCATACATTTGAACAGAGGTGCTATGTTATCATGGATTTAATTAAACCATTTAAATAAATACTAATATATTTCAGAGTAATTATACTCCTCCCCTTTATGAATGTTGCAGTTTGCTTTTGCATAAAATTAAGATTCTGTGTATTTAGTAAATGCTAAATATGTCATTTTCCTCTATAATTGCCTAGAAATCTTTTCCTAGCCTGGGTCACAGGATTCCATATGATAGCAACTATTAAGACAAATGTTTATTTTTAATCACCACATGTACAGACAAATACGTAGCCAAGTTATCCTCTAGAAGGAAAGGAAACGAAAGTATTTTGTTTGGAGAACCTCTGGCAAACCGCATGTCATTTGTCATATCTGATTTATTACCACAGGATCACATTACAGGGGAATTTCAAATCCTATAACAACATCCAAGATCACATACTTTAAGAGGAAGTATGTGGAAGAAGAGGATTTTCACCCACCACTCAGCAGCTGTAGCCATAAAGTATGTTTTTTTAATAGTCATTATTTTTATTAAGAATTTAAGATACTTAGTAACAGTTGCCTGATCCACTTCCAGAAATTAAATTGTTTCACCCAAGCAATGAAAATGAGCCACTTCTCAGTGAAGCCTCATTAATTGTTGTCACTTTTTTGGGTCCTGTGTTATTTTTCACAAGTACTTGAAGAAAAACTGGCACGAGCTCTCCCACCCAGAAATATCAAAATTATGTAATCCGAGGAATTTTTTTTAACGTATGCTTTAATATTTCTCAGGTTGCATTTCGGGTTATGGTTCTTCCGCACTTTTGTGTCTGGGAATGCACTTGTTCTTTTCTGTTGTGTTCTCCCCAGTCTGAGTTCTGGCTCCTGCAGCCAATGCTATATCCGTGTGTGTCCACGTGGGGGTGGTTACGCAGGGCTTTTCCTGACTTCTTATGGGTAGACTCACCATCCTTGAATGTGTGCATACAAATAGAAATATGTACTTCACTGGACGTTGGTTACATATAAGTTTGTTGAAACATAGACTTGATTTCCAAGAAAAGACCAAAACTACCTTTTTTGTAGGTATAGTAAAAAATAATAACAACAAATGGGGATATTCCATAGAATTATGAAATTGGGCATCTAAACTTTTGAAATACCAGTTCTTTTCTCTTTAGGTAACTACCTTCCTTCAATAACTATCTGCTGACTTAATTGAGGCGGGTATAACCCCAGACCATAGTTGTCTGAAATGCAGAGAGGATTTCCGATTCATCTTCCTCTCCGTCTCCTCTTGCCTTTCCCTCTGTCACCTCATCCTTTAGATGTTGCTTTTACCTTGCTCATAGAAAGACGGCAGAATGCATTGGTAGGCACTGGACTTTTCCTGCATGTGGAGTCCCTGCCTTTGGTCAGTCTGAGCTGATTTAGTTCACAGCTCCTCAGTTTGTATTTTTGATGACCTGGAATAACTGGTCCCCCAGGACACAAGCAGTTTATTTCCTTTTTAGTTTTTGTGTTGTGGTTATAGCAGTTTCCCAATTGCTACTGGATTTGCACCAACCATCACATAGTGATAGTGCCACACAGCTCAGGAGTGAGTCCTCTCATTTCCTCTCGCCATCTCGTCTCCCACTCGGCTCCACAAGGAAGCCACTTTGGTCCTTCAACTGACAGATTCTGTCAAGGTCTGAGCCTCATTAATTTTTGTTGTCCTTTTATCAGGCAAGGATAATTGCAAGTATGAAACCCAAAGAATTAAAAAGGGGACAGCATTAAAAGCCAAATATCATGCTCCTTGATGGCTAGACCAGGGTTTGAAGTATATTGATTATGACTTGCATCTTGGCATCATTTTAGAAACATGTATTGATGTACAATATGAGTTACGTGTCCTGTGTGTGTGTGTATTTGTGTACACACACATAAAAAAGTACAAGTATCACAGTACAGCTTGATGAATTTCATGAGGCGAACATGCTCATGTAACTAACATCCAGGTCAAGAACCAAAACATAACCAGCAACCAGAATCCTCCTTGTGCCTGCTTCCAGCACTTACCCCTCACCCCACCCACCCCAACTTCGAAAGTACCTGCTCTCCTGATTTCTAATAGCTTAGATTAGTTTTGTGTTTTAGCATCTTCCTTACTGGGACGTAATAGATCAACAACCTGACCTGTCCCTCCTGAGGTCTGCACTGTGGCTTGACTCCCTAGTGCTTGACCACACCAGCGAGTTGGGAAGTGGGTGGGCACTCCAGCCAAGTGAGGAAAGGGAACATCGGCAGAACTGGGGACAGGCTCTCTAAATGAACCCTGGGGAACAAGACCACAACATGCCCAGGCCCAGACAGTGCCAAGAAAGAAGTGTGCTGTGATGATATTTTTATATAGTCCATTTTCTAAGCTTTCTCTCTTCCTTTTTTTTCTTTTTTTTTTTTTTTCCTTTGGTTTGTAGACCATCTCAATTTTTGAGGAACGAGCCCACATCCTTTATATGTCCTTAGAAAAGCTAAAGTTTATCGATGATCCTGAAGTGTATCTCCGAAGATCTGTCCTTATAAACAATTTGATGAAAAGGATCCATGGAGAAATTATCATGCAGAATAACTGGTGTTTCCCTGCCTGCTCTTTCAATGGCACCTCCGCTCAAGAGTGGTTTATGGCTCAAGACTGCCCTTACCGAAAACGACCACGGATGGCCAAAGAGGAATGTGAAAAGTTTCATGCCTGCTGCTTTTACCAAGAATGTGGTGGCCACTACCTAAATTTACCCTTTTCTGTCAATGCTAATGTCGGAAGTGCCTCCACTGCTGCCTCCTCTCCCTGCATCTCTTCCTCCTCCTCCTCCTCCTCCTCCTCCTCCTCTCCCTCTTTGCCTTTACCGAGTTGTTCCCACCAGGTGGATTTTGATGTAGGCAGTGCATCTGTTTACAAGAGTGATGGCCAGATACCTGCCAATGAAATCTTTGTCACTAATGTCAGATCACTTGGCGTTCAGGAAAAGGCCAAATTAAGTGATGAGAAAGCAAATAATGACACCAACAGAGATGGTGGCCCCCTCAGCCATGAACCTGTGGGAAATGACCTTGCTTTTGAGTGCAAGGGCCAATTTTACGATTATTTTGAGACCGGATATAATGAAAGAAACAATGTAAATGAATCTTGGAAAAAGTCCTTACGGAAAAAGGAGGCTTCACCACCAAGTAACAAACTGTGCTGCAGCAAAGGAAGTAAAATATGAGCCATCTTCTCACCGAACTTTGAAGCATGCACAGCATGATCAGTTAGCGCTCACGAATTTTATTTTGAATGGATTTTGTAGTTTTGTACAACTGATAAAATTATGCCATGAACATGCCGTGTCGTTTTAATGCCTGGAGAGCAGATTGCATAAAACATCTGTATAGTAGGCATCAACGAGCTTCCTTATAAATGTGGTGATTTTTACCAAGAAAACAGTTGAACTTAATGCTTGAAAGTATATCATAGTTTTCTTACAGAAAAGATCAGTAGATTAGATTAGGGGACAACGTGCCCTTGCAATATTTCCATTGCCCCCCAAGGAGCCTATCACTAGCTAAGAAATTTCAACATGTTTGCCAATTAATTAGGGGGTTACTTGGTAAGCAAATCAATATAACCAGCAAAGATACCTGCTTCTTCTATATGATACAATATTTTTTGTTAATAAAAGACTGAAGACAGGGAGCTAGATGAAATGGCTTCATGGTGCTGTTAAGTATTTGTACCTAACAGTCTTGTGTGACAGATGAAAATAGGATGTAACATAATGAAACACACCTGTCTAGGGGCGGCAATCAGCAGTCTTACACAGAGAGGGAAGTCCCTGCAAGTTCCTAGCTTGCCTGTGATGGGCGATGAGGCTTTTAGAGAGGTGTTATACAGGGCGAATTTTGGTGCCTTACTTTATCTTAATTTTTGCCAATGTGAAAATTAAGGATAAATCAGAGTTACAGCAGGGATTTAACAAACAGGAGGAAAAAAAAAAACAACACAGGGTGGATCAATATGGTTTGGAAACTTAACTTTGAACTATTGTGTTCAACTTTTGATTCGACATCTCTATTTTTCCTTTATTTTTGATGCCCAATTGCTTTTGGATTTGGCATTTTTTCAGTAGGGATGGAGGAAACGAGAGAGCTGTTAGCAAGCAGCACTGGCTGCACCAGCTTTCCTCTGGCAACTGTCTGTTGCTGGGGTTTGGGTTTTCTGGGTTTTGGGTTGTTTTGTTTTGTTTTCTTGTCCAATGAAGTTCACGAACCAGTGGCATGCATTATACTCTTCTCTGTTTTGCATCATTTCACTTGTTTAGATTATAAAAGCATGTGGGTTTTTATGTATGAAATTTACTGTTGATTAAGAAGCACAATGTTAATAAATGATGTGGTGATCAATAAGGTTTATCTTAAAGAATGTAAAGACTTCAGTTTTTGGAAAGTTATTTTGGAGAAATGGGACTTAATCTATAATCGTTACTATGTATTTGGTCTACATTTTCCAAATAATATCTTTAATTTGTACATTTGAAAAGTGTTCAGAGTGGCCCTCCTGCCATCCTTCCTTCCACTCCAGCCAACTCTTCCTGCTAAACTGTATTCCACTTTCCAAGTTTACTAATTGACTTGGGCCTCTTTAAACAATACTTCACAGAAACCAAATGCCAAATGGAGGAAATAAGTGAGCCCTCCCAGTTTCTCCAAAATAAAGCTTTTTTTTAATTATTGCTATTAATATTAAATATAGGTCTCATTCATACAGTGTATGAGTAGGATCATTTGGACAATTGTCCACAAGGACCAATTTTTAAAACATTTTCTTGCGTTATAGCTAAATAGTCTAGTAATGTTTTGTCTTTTATTTGCAATATTTGATAAACATTTGATGTTCAAAACTTAGATAATAGATGCTTGTATATGAATGTGTTGTAATAAAGTGAGGTTTTCTTGATATATATTTATTAAAATGATAAAAATTCATTAAGTTTTTTTCAAGTTTAATGGCTATTGGCTATGTTTCTCTTTTCCATTATTCTCTCTCCTTTAAAAAACTCAAAACATCTAGAAACTCTAGTGGATAGTGGCCACACAGGAGTTTTCTAAATTAAAGAGTATTTTAAAATGCCAATCTGACAGGTGTTTTAGAATGATCCCAGTTTGTAAGTTTAAGTTTCTGTTGACTAAGAAGCACAATGTTAATAGATGCTGTGGTGATAAATAAGGTTTATGTCTAAAAAAAGTGAAAATTTTCCTTTCTGAAGTGTCTCTGAAAAAAAATGTAAAACATGAAGCCGTAAATACTGAATCTTAGCTGATTCCATTATGAAATGTCAAACTGTAAAGATGACCCATATGTAAACGGTTATAACAGCTACAGATTATTCCTGGTAGCATTCTATACAATTCTGTATTAATGGTCTTAGAAGCTAATATTTGATTAAGGGGGAAAGCTAGTTGAAAAATAATTAATTTGTCAAATATAGCATTCTCATTGCAAGTGTAATATCTCATGGAGATTTAAATATGAATGAAAGGACTTATCCTTCTGCTTTTTAAAAGCCCCCAGCATTACTAGATAGTGTTTTTCTTGAGGGCCAAAGCTGTAAAATGACAAAGTTGGTGATTTTCAGCAGCACTCACCTGAGCTGTGAGCGCCTGCACCTGTTCAGTAGAACCCACTAGAATCACTTCTCTGCAGGGTAAGTGGTGCCTTTGAATTCAGCAGCATAAAAATCTGTTCTTTTTAGTCATCAAGTTTTTGTTACCAGGATATTTCTAGCATGGCAAAAAAAATTTCTTCACCAAAAAGTGATTTGTAAACACCCATCCAGACTACGAAAATCCTCTTGTTAGCAGGTGAGAGTGCTAGGACTTCCTGTGTTCACCTCTTATGTACCCAACATTGTCTTCTATGCATGAGATATTCCATTCGATTTTCCTAGAGTGGCCAGAACACCCTTCATAGTAAGTTAAATCTCTTAACTGGATTCTATAGTTTTATCTTGAGCAATTTGGAAAAGCTAAGACATTCTCCACCCACACTACTGTCTACCCGCCTGGAAGCAGCACCTTCTCTCATTGCTGTGCTCTGCTTTGAGGAAAACCTGATATGACAGAATCAAGACTATTAAAAGATAAATGAGGGGAAGTCTTCATTTAAGAAAGTGGCCTTGCTCCCCAAGAGTGCCTTTAATTGCTATTCCCCTAGGCATCTGGGTGCATATCATTAATGAAATCATTAACCTTTGTCTCTGATCCTGCCTTTCTAAAAATGGCAGATTATAGAAGGTGGTCTGGCAGAGAGATTTTCAAGGGGCAAAAGTCTCAACATCATCTTTCCACTCAAGATCCAATTATTCTAAACCTCACTTTGTAGGGGTCCTAGGGACAGGATTGCAGGGACAGGGGACATGGAGGAAGAGAGAAAAATTCAAAACCAGCAGATGCCACTATCTGGCAATGAATTGAAAATTAGGGTAAAACATCTTTGGCATGATCTTTTATTAAGACAACAGAAATTTAGAACATTTTGCATGCAACTTTGTTAAACGGTGAAGCAGGTGAATGGAAGTATTTCTTTTTAGAGCTCACAGTTAACTCCATCAAGACATGGCTACCCATCCCTCCAATTATGAACTTGTATTACAGCTCCACTTAGTGACTTCCTTCCTGTGTATCAGGAGGAGAGCAGAGGACAACTTGTAGAAGACATGGCCACTAAGAGACATCAACTTCGAAACAAGTATAAGACAAGGATATAAGGATTCCTCTGTGATGCAGCTAGGCTTTTATATCCTTCTAACAAATTGTGAGCAGGAAACGTTTTTGGAAATAATTAGTTGTTAAATTTCATCTTTCTGACAGCCCCTTAAATTTGAAGTCATTTCATTTGTAGTTAAGGTTACCACATCCTTGCCAATTTTATCAGATCTTTTCGGAGACAAGGATTCAGCATGGCATTAGTAATGATGGTTTAAACTAGATGCAGAACTGTCCCATGAAGAGAAGAATGATATCAGTATTTAAATAATAAAAGAAGAGACAATGTATGGTTTGTAGTGATTCATCTTTAAGATTGCTGTGTTTTGATTCTGTGGTTTAAAATAAATGCATTAAGGATCTTTTAAGTTACTACAAGATGCCTGTGTTGCTTTCTTAGCTATAGTGCCTAAGCAAGGTATGTTCTCTTGGCATAGGTAAAACGTTTCAATTGTATGTGATATAACTACATGACCTGGGGTGAAACAGTTACTAGCTTGGAGATTATTTCCCAGCCCTGGGTACATGCCATATTTTAGCTGTGAGAACTCACTTAGGAAAAGCACTTGCAAAGATGTAAGTTATGAACACTTGAATCTCGTATCCTGCCATAAAGTGCATCAGCAAGTGAGTTTAATAAAACATGCTGTTTAAAATAGTCTGTAATTTCCTGTTTCTGCATTTCCCTTCAGTATCTGTGACAGGCTGAAGAACGATGACTAAACGAAGGGAATTTACACAAGCTAGTCTGGTGGTGTTTGCAAACCATCACCGTGAGCTTCATCTTCTTTGGTAAACAATCCTCTGGTGGGCTGTCTGTGGTTGGTTTTTTTTCCTTGTTGTTGATCCAATTTGTTAATTTTGAAAATGCAAGCTACTTATTCATAGTGTGGAAACACCTGCTTTTGACCATAATAAAACGGACAGAAGATATGGAGATGTATTAGTTGTTTCTCATGAAAGTTCTTTCTTTCTTTTTTTTTTTTTTTTTTTTTTGAGATGGAGTCTTGCTGTGTCACCCAGGCTGGAGTGCAGTGGTGAATTCTTGGCTCACTGCAACATCTGCCTTCTGGGTTCAAGCAATTCTCCTGCCTCAGCCTCCCAAGTAGCTGGGAGCACAGGTGCCTGCCACCACACCTGGTAATTATTTGTATTTTTAGTAGAGATGAGGTTTCACTATGTTGGCCAGGCTGATCTCAAACTCCTGACCTTGTGATCCCTCTACCTCTGCCTCTCAAAGTGCTGGGAACTGCACCTGGCCACGGATAGAAATTTCTCATATTTCTCAATCCCTTTGTGGAGGACCTGCATATGAAAGAACTTGCAGAGATATAAGTTATGATCTTGGTTTCTGCCAAGGTTTCCAGAACAATAACAAATATCAGAACTTTCGGGGAAAGTACCTAGGTACCCTACGGTCCTAACCCTACAGTCTTGTGCTGCCCAGAGCAACCTGGTCTTCGGCAGGCATTGCCTCTATCCAGATCTTCCAATGGAAGCAGCTGAGTCCAGGCATCAGGCATGTAATTCTCCACTGCCTCCTCTAGTCAGCACACACATGAACCCATCTTTGATGCTTCTAGACACAGTGGTTTTCTTCAGATACCTTCTAAGACGACTGCAATGAACTAAGCTCAGATGTGGTAAGACCCTGGTGTCTTCTCAATCAAGAGATGAGTAGATCTCTCTGAAATACACTTGGCATAGCACTCAGACATCTATAACATTTTCAAAACTCACAACACCCCTGTGTGCACAATAAGGAAAAGACAGAGAATGACAGGCTATGCAAGGGATTTTGGCAAAAGGTTAGGGGGTTGATCTCTGATCCAGTACAGTGAAGCAAGTCTGAGAAATACGGTGCTCCCGTACACTGCAGAGTGAATCCACTCTCTTTAAGGAAAAGTCTAAAGACTGCAGAGGAAAGAAGACAGAATTTGTTGTTTCTTTGTCAAACCTCTTTAGGAAAAACATTTCAGGGACTAAGGGATTTTTTAAAACTTTTTTTGCAGGAACAGAGAAATGGCTTGTATGCCTTTTCTGGAGCTGGGAGGGGTTCTTCTTATTCTCCATGTCCTTAGATGCTATGCTTTTCAATAAACCCACCAAACTGTATTTGTGAATGGGGATAGTCATTAGCCCAAGGAATCTCTCTCCTGTTCAGTTTAGGCACAGAGGTTGTGGGTTTCTCACAAGACTGGACTACAGCAGAGGGTTAAGAGTAGGGGGTTTAAAGTTAGACTGCCTGGATGAAAATCTCAGCTCTGCCAGGGTAGCTGTGCAACCTTGGCCTTGGCCAACAAGCCACTTTACCACCTAGTTTCTCGGTTTACTCATCTGTAAAATGGAGTAGCACACATTATCCACCTCATAAGTTTGTCAGGATGAAAGGTTTTAATATCAGGGAAATGACTTAACATTGCCTGGGTGTACCTTATGGGTTTGCAATGATTGAGCCTCCAAGACTTCTCCATTACTGTCCTAAATGCCCTGCAGGTGGAACCCAACAGTGCCAGATCCTCCTTTTGGTGGAAAGTATTCAGCCTCTTTGGTTCTGTACAGCAAGCTTAAAGTTAAACAGGAGGATGGTATGAAACTTGGGGTGCCAGGGCTATGAAAGTAGTCATTGGTGTCCTTGAGGTATGTTTAGTATTTACAATACCTTATCGCAAATCATACTATTTTCTGAAAGTGGTTGCACAGGCTAACCCCACATCAAATTTCCTTACCTTTGGCTGGAATTAAATCAGCGTCAGGCTATCACAAACAGAGAAGAAACTCTGACTGGGAAAACGAAGCCATTATCCTTAATAAATGCAATTTGTTTCTCAGAATCTTTCAGAACACTGGCTATGTGAAGGGAATAAGAGGTGTCCCTTACAAATGGAAAGATTAAAAACCACTAACCTCTGACTTATCTTCAGGATTTGCCAGAGTTCAAGTTTATTTAGTTACCGTATCGAATGCTTTTCTTAAACCTAGTTTTTACTCAGAGAAAGTACAGTATTGATTTAGGAAAAAAAGTGGGGTACGCTAGGTGGCTCATGACTGCCGGTAATCCCAGCCCTTTGGGAGGCTGAGGTGAATAGATCACTTGAGGTCAAGAGTTCAAGACCGACCTGGTCAACATGGTAAAACTCCTTGTCTACTAAAAATACAAAAGGTAGTCAGGTGTGGTGGAGGGGGAGGTGCCTTTAATCCCAGCTACTTGGGAGGCCAAGGCAGGAGAATTGCTTGAACCTGGGAGGCAGAGTTTGCAGTCAGCCGAGATTGAGCCACTACACTCCAGCCTGGATGAGGAAGTGAGACTCTATCTCCAAAAACAAGGGGGTGGGGTGGGATGGAGCACGGGAGATAATTTAGACTAAATGCTATTCCTTGTGCTTCTGATAATTTTGGAGACCAAAGCAGAATTTTCTGGATAACCATAACCAAGGACAGGGTCTCTTATAAAAGAACTGGGATACAGTTGCCACTTAAAAGGTCAACTAGAGGTTGGTTATCCCTATTTCAAACTCTTATCCCTTCTGTTTTGCCATTAAACTCAGAAAGCAACTGACAATTTCAAAATAGAATTCCATTTACAAAATTACATTCCTTCTCTCAATTTTTGAAGAGTTTATATTTTTCCATAAGGTGAGGCTCACCTGCAGTGAGACTCGCTGATGGGTAGGTTCTGAAATGAGAACAAAACTGAACCATATGGCTTAAGAATGAGAAATGGGCACCAGAGTTTAACGAGAGCAAATGCAGTGTTGTATCATGGGGGCCCCAGGACTTCTCTGCAAAAGGCTCCCCACCTGTCTAACTGGGCTAGGTCTCATAATTGACAACAATAGTTGACATTTGAGCCAGCTGAGAGAGGCAGTGGGAAGCCAGGACACCTCAGCCTGCCCAGGGAGGCGTAGGCTGGCCATCTCTAAGCCTTTGTCTTCTCAGAGTTTGGAAACCCAGCAGCTGGAGTAGATATTTTTATTTTCCAATCAGTAAGATTTTAACCAGTGAGGATGATCAACTAGAATTGTCAACCAGCACAATCTTGACCTAGCTGGTTTTAGGCAAGATGACTTAATGCACAAGAGACATCTCTATCTGGAGATGATATTGGTCCCTGCAAAGAAAGAACTCTTTTTTTTTTTTTTTTTTAAAGGTAATCAGTTATTTAATTAGATTAGCAGGACATTTAAAATACCAATTTGTGAGGATAAATTCCATTTATCAGGGCAAACACAGATTGCAGGTAGCCCTGGAGCTGAGGAATAGCTTTGATTTTTGGTAAAATTTGTGAGTCCACAGCTTTCTGATCAATCTTGCGCTGCTCTGTAATCTCGTATTTCTCTCTTTCTGTGTCGAAGATCCCACCTTCCTGGTGTCTGGGCTTTCACAGCTTCTTCCTCTTGAAGTAAGCAACAGTAAGATGTTTTGGGATTTTTACATTGCTGATATCAATTTTGGTTGAGGTGGCAATGACAAATTTCTGGTGCGTTCTTCGCAGAGGAACTCGATTGAGGACCAGAGGTCCAGTCACAAGTAATAAGCCACTAGCCAGCTGCTTCAGGAAAACCACCCTCTTGCCCCTGTGACATCCAGTGAGGATGATCAGAATGGTCCCGGGCGCGATGCTGGCTCGCAGTTTTCTCACGTGCTGACTGAAGGGTTTTTTGCTGTGGCTCAACAGCTTTCGAGGCACGTCTTCAGTAGGATAATACCTAGGCATTTTGCGAAGTTTAACCACCCGGGTACCTCCGTTTTTGTCACCACCAATTGGTTTTGTAACAGTTGCAAGAAGCTTCTCCTTCTTTTTGTTTTCCACCTTGGATTTAGCCTCTGAGTACTTCCTCTTGTACATGGCCTTTCTGGAATACATGGCAGATCGGATCTGCCAATTCCTCTGACAAGAACAGGATTGCGGCTGCAGTGGGGCTTCCCCTTCTTGGGCTTTTTAGCCTTGAGGTTACCCTTTTTCACTTTGCTACCAGCATCAGCCTTCTTGGCTTCAGGCTTCTTCTCTTTAGTATCCCGCGTCTCAACTTTTTCACCCGCCATCTTGCAAGATGGGGAAGAGAACTAAGGCCCCAGCTTCCGGTCTCAGAAAGAACTCTTAAAGAAATCCTGGGACCATTTATCCATGACGGTATTTTAAGGGATGAATAAAGAAATATGTACTAGGAAGAATCCTGGGATGGATTTGTAAGAATTAATTGATTTCTAACTTTTATTCTTATTATAGATCCAACAAAGCTTAACTCAATCTTTCTAAAATTTCCTGTTAGGCCAGGCATGATGGCTCACACTTTAATCCCAGCACTTTAGGAAGCTGAGGAGGGAGGATCACTTGAACCTGGGAGGTGGAGGTTGCGGTGAGCTGAGAT